ATGACATGGGAAATGGTGGATTCAAAATCTTTATCTAGCAAATTCAGGAGTCCCTTGGCCAAGATTCTGCACTAGTAAGTTTATTACATAAATTGTGTGGTCAAACTTTAACTGGTTAAACTAGTTTGATTTATGTCCTGCAGTTTGAGCCAAAGAAGTATTGTATGGTAGTTTTCTAATGATTGATTTTGGATGCAGTTCGTGACAGGTGAGGGCGCGATGCTGTGATTAAGAGGGAAATTCGTGGAAGTTCACACTGCTAGTTATTGTGGACTTTTATCATACAAACTTGAATTGTTTGCTGTGTTTGCTTGTGTAATATGTTTCAAGCCTAAGAATAAATCTTGTGAGACCTTTGTATTTGTCTATGTTTGTTGCTGCAACAATGTTTCAAACATAACACTAAATCATGTGAGACCTTTGTATTTGCTTGTGTAATACTATTGAAATCCTTTTCTCTTTCAAGATTCCCTCCGGTTATTATAGATGCTTTGAACTTACCAAATAAGACTACTTTTGGAATAGTAAACTTTAAAATGAGTTTTTTTCTAATAAAGAAAATAGAGATCATCTTAAACCTGTTATTGTCGATACTAGTTCCAAGGATAGAATAATGTGTGGAAAGATTTTGCTATACTTCAAGCATGCAAGTTTTACCTTTAGGAAAGTGAATATTCCATGTTTCTCAGTTCAAACCCGCTGCTACCAAAAAAAAAAAAAAATAGTGGTTTCTGTACCACATTATATAAACATGTATGTTTCCTTACATATAGATCACGATTTGTGGCTAGCTAGTTTGGCATGTAGTACAACTCTTCTAGTCTAGAAGTAAAGGGTCGGAAGTTGGTACTTGAGGGCAGAGGCGTATCCAGGATTTTAATATTATGGGTGCACTATTATCTTTAAGATAGATGTTTGGTTCCATTATATAGAATTTTATGATGGCGGCAAGTTGACAAGCAAACTATATTAATACTATATTCGCAAAAAATATCATTCACTTTACAATTTTCCACAATGAGTTTTTATTGAAAACAGTCAATAATAACATCATTACTTACAACAATTTTAAATATCTCACGCTCTATATAGCAAATAAAACATTCATTCAAAAAAGTTTTAAAAACGGCGTTTAATATTGAGCAGGGGTTTTCCTGCTTTGAAACCACTAAGAGCCTCAGAGCCGAGAGAGACAAGTCATGAGTACTTTGCTTTTAGGGATTTCAAAGTTTTTGTACTCAAAAGAACGATTAGGAGAAGAAAATAAAAAAGAAGTAGGAAAAAAGAATTTTTTTTAATAAAAAAGTAAACAAAAAATGTATTTGTTTGTTAATTGAAAAGAAAGAAAGGGCATAGGGATATGTTGTTAATTGAAAAGGGTGTGGGAAATTGGGAATTTATTTATTGTAATTAATTATAAAAGGAATTAATCAAAAAGAATTATATGGGGATCGAACCCATGACCTTGGGGACAAAAAGGAGATAAGAGGGGTACTTAGTCACCAATGCACCATAACAATCACTTGAGCATGGGTGACCACAAATATATTTAAGCATATAATTGAAAAAAAATAGTATTTTATACATAGCCTAGGGAGGGGAGCATGGGTGCATGTACCCCACCCTCCTCCACGTAAATCCGTCTCTGCTTGAGGGTGTGGTTTAGTGGTCAATGAAATTGGTGCAACTATTGATCAGTGTTCAAATTCTAGCTAAAAAAAAAGAAACAAGAAAAAAAAAACCTCAATCAGTGTAATAAGCCTCGATCAACTGAGTTATCTTGTGGTTGTACTCAAGAATATTTACTTGATTTCGATCTTCATTGATTCATTGTTAAAGAAATTCTTTGATATGATCATCATTAGGACCAGTGGACCCACCGCCTTACCTGAGTGCGACCACGAAATTTTATTACAGTCCGCACTATTTTACCTTTTTCAAAACTGCTTCAGTCACATGGGAGCGGCCGCAAACTCTATAGGATTTTTGACAGGCCAACTTCAGAGATTTGGCATTTTGCTCATTTCAACTACACGACCGCGCATAGAATTGTGCGGCCGCGAAGTGTTCAACGCGTTCTGCAAAATTTTGGGTGCGGTTTGCGAAAGTTCACCACTTAGACAGATTTTTCCTTGTCAAATTCCTGCATTGCACAACCAATTCATACATACACTTCACATCCAGTTAGTCCAAATAATGTCTAATCTAAGAAGAAAATCAAAAGAAAGAAAAATACAAGTGTTGCCTCCCAAGAAACGCCTGATTTAACGTCGCGGCACGACATATATTACCATCATTCACTTGAAATGGATCAATGTAACAACATGGCTATCATCAAATTTGCCAAGGTAGTGCTTCACTCGGTGCCCATTGAATCTAATGATCTCACCATTCTTTTTTTCAAATCTAGAGCAATAAAAGGAGTCACATGCACCACTTCAAAGGGACCGCTCCACTTTGACTTTAACTTTCCCAGAAATATCTATAACTGAGAGTTGAATAAGAGAAAAAAGTCACCTTCTTTGAATTCTTTATTCCGTTTATACTTATATGTAGTTACTTCATCTTGTCCTTATACAATGACGAACTGGAGTAAGCATGTAATTGAAACTCATCAAGTTCATTCAATTGCTCCACCCGAAGATTGGCAGCTACATCCCACTCTATGTTCAAACTTCTTCAACGCCCACATAGCCTTATACTTAATTCCACCGGGAGGTGACATTCTTTCCCATACACCAATCGATATAAAGACATACCAATTGGAGTCTTGTAAGCTGTTCTATAGGCTCATAAAGCATCGTCAAGTTTCATTGACCAATCAGACCAGTTTGCATTGATAGTCTTTGATAAAATACTCTTGATCTCCTTGTTAGAGACTTCAACTTATCCACTTGCCTGGGGTGATAGGGGGTTGACACCTTGTGAGTGACACCATATTTGGAGAGCAAAGTGTCAAAGGCTTTGTTTCAAAAATGAGAACCCCCATCACTAATGATGGCCCTTGGGGTGTCGAAACTTGTGAATATGTTTTTCTTCAAGAAAGCTGCCACACTCCGTGCTTCATTGTTATGCAAAGCCACATCTTCAACCCATTTGGAAACGTAATCCACAACAACAAGAATATAGGTGTTCCCACACGAACTCACAAATGGACCCATAAAATTAATTCCCGCAAAAATATCGATCTCAAGGATGGTGGTGAGAGGAATCTCATTTTTCTTGGATATCCCACCGGCTCTTTGGCAATCATCATACCGCTTACCAAGCTCGCTAGCATATTTGTACAAGGTAGGTCAATAGAATCCACAGGTTAGGACCTTTGTAGTAGTTCTCGCCCCACCATGGTGACCACCATAGGGCGAGGAATGGAAAGCTTCAAGAATACCTAATAGCTCTTCTTCTGGAACACCTTTCCAAATAACACCATCGCTGCAAATTTTAGAAATATATGGCTCATCCCAATAGTAATCCAAGCAGTCCCGTTTGAGCTTCTTTCTTTGGTTTGAAGAGAACTCATTCCAGACAATTCCGCTCACAAGATAGTTAGCCACATCGTTAAACCAAGACATCCCGGTCAAAGACATGGAAAGGAATTATTCATCCGGAAATGAATCATTGATCCTAAGGCCATCATGGGGCCTCCCCTCCTCTTCCAAACGGGACAAGTGGTCCGCCACTTGACTCTCACTCCCTTTTCATTCTATGATTTCAAGATCAAACTCTTGTAAAAGAAGTACCCACCTCATCCATCTAGCCTTTGAGTCCTTCTTACTCATCAAATAACGAAACGTCACGTGATCGGTGTGAATAATCACTTTGGTACCCATGAGGTACGGGCATAAATTTTCCATAGTAAAGACAATGGCTAAGAGTTCTTTCTCGGTCACCGTATAGTTGACCTGGGTGTCATTCATGGTCTTACTAGCATAGTAGACTGGATGGAATATCTTGTTGATTCTTTGCCCCAATACCACTCCTACCGCCATATCACTAGCATCACACATGAGCTCAAATGGTAAGCTCCAATTTTGTGCGTTAATGATGGGAGTGGTAGTCAACATATACTTGAGAAGCTCAAATGCCTTCATACAATCATCATTGAACACAAATTTGGCATCTTTTTTCAACAACTTGCACAAGGGGTTAACCACTTTTGAGAAATCCTTGATGAACTGACGGTAAAACCCCGCGTGGCCTAGAAAGTCCTCACTCCTTTTACGGAAGTAAGGGAGGGAGTTTTGATATCACTTCAATTTATGCTTTATCCACTTCAATACCATTCTTGGAGATCTTATGGCTGAGGACAATGTCCTCCACAACCATAAAGTGACACTTCTAATTAAGCACCAAGTTGGTTTCTTCACAACGTGTCAATACCTTATCAAGATTATCCAAACATTAATCAAAAGAATCCCCCACAATAGAGAAATTATCCATGATCACCTCGAGGAAGTCCTCCACCATATCTGTGAATATTGCCATCATACACTGCTAAAAAGTAACCGGTGCATTACATAGACCAAACGACATCCTTGAGAATGCAAATGTGCCATACGGACAAGTGAAAGTGGTCTTGTCTTGGTATTCAAGTGCAATAAGAATCTGGTTATAACCGAAATACCCATCCAAAAATCAATAATAAGCACGTCTGACTAGCCTATCCAACATTTGATCATGAAATGGAAGCGAAAAATGGTCTTCCTGAGTCACTTTGTTAAGCTTCCTGTAATATAGGCATTCCCTCCAACCAGTAACAGTTCTTGTGGGGATCAACTCATTGTTATCATTTGTAATCACAGTCATGCCGCCTTCTTTAGGACACATCGCACCGGCAAAGTCCATGAACTATCAGAAATGGGGTAGACAACCCCAACATCCAACCATTTGATGATCTATTTATTGACTACCTCTTGCATGGCCTCATTCAACCGTCTTTGATGTTCCACTGAGGGCTTAACATCATCTTCCAATATGATTTTGTGCATGCAAAAGGTGGGGCTTATACCCCAAATATTCGCCAATATCCAACCTATTGCCTTCTTTCTCCTTTGGAGCACTGCAAGGGTGGCATCTACCTGCATGTTAGTTAAGCACAAGGAAAGAATAACATGTAACATGGAAAAAGAGCTTAGGAACTCATACCTGAGGTGTGAAGGCAAGGGCTTCAACTCCAATGTGGGAGGATCCTCGATTGAGGGCTTTGTTGGTGTTGTCTTCCGGTTCTCAAGATCCAGGGAAAGTTTCCGGGGCTCATATGTATATGAACCCATTTCTTGCAAAGCATTGACATATTCCACCAAACCTTCCTTCTCATCCACATTATGATACAATAACATAGCTTCCAATGGGTCTTCCACATTAATCACATCAAATGTTTCTTCAATAATCACCTTGGTCACAAGATCCACAAACGAACACACTTCGTTGTTATTAGGCTGCCTCATTGACTTGCAAACATG